GCCTTGGGTTCAATCTCCAGCAACACAAAAACAAACAAACAAACAAAAAACTTCCTTTGAACTAAGTGACTTGTCTTATTTATTCTTCTTGAGGTTATAGTATCTGGTACACATATTCATTAGACATGCACTCAGTAAATGAATGAAAAGATAAGTGAGGGATTACCTGAAGGCTAACTATAAKAWCCATCTGAAAAGTATCATATGATATTAGGTTTTGCTGAGGGGAGAGGGTTGCAAACACTTTTATAATGTATTATTTTTATATGATATATATTTTAGTGCCATGAGGTACAGTTACCTGTAGTATGACATTTGAATCATAAAGTYACTGTTCCTGCCTACCTTACTGATATCATCAAGTGGCTGGTTGTTGGCATTTTCCTTTTGCATTATGTTTATTAGATCCATATGAAATTTCTTCACATTYAGAAAAACAAGTGGATTGTTTATTGAGATAATTTTCACCTGCTGCAGGCTTTCCTTTTAAGGAAGAAAAAAGAAGTAGGTTTAGAACTCTGAATTAAATAAAATGGAATAACTATACCCAATGAATCTAAATCTTTTAACTCCAAATGTCACTCAATTGTAGAAGCAATTCMTTAACTATCACTTTAATTATTAAAATTTGTTTAGAAGATTTAATGCACTATCACACTTCTTATGGRGAATATGTACTTCCTCTCTATTATGAAACATTAATAACATGAGACAAGTCTGCAGMTTTTTAGAAAGTGGTCCTTTTTCCTACTGACTGGGCTTTGGGGACCCAAAAAACTAGAATATACAAAGAATTCCATGAAGACCTATCTTCCCAAATTACCTCTTCCATTCAACCTGTCATTAAAATTAATGTACTTAAMCATCCATATTTTTCAAAAATGAAAATATCTTCTAAATGGTCAACTGTCAACATGCCAATAATGTCATGAACTTTCTTTAGCTGAAATGTGACTTTATAAGTGATAGTCCTAATTGGAAGGACGAGACAGAGAATTAGTGTCCAGAACATAGATTTGCTTTGGGCAGCATTTCAAGGCATTGAAAGATGCAGAACTGAAGAGGGAAACATTTTGACACGAAAAAGTGTCTGTTTGGGCCAACTGCCCAGGTTTAACTGGCCATATTCAGTGATGAGCAATGGAAACTGTCCTCTCTGTGACTCTGGGAAAGAAAAATGCACAGGATGGTCAATTCTATGATATGATAACTCCTTACCAACTAACTTCAGGCTTTAGTATTCACATGGAAGAGAAGATGCAGAAATTGGTCATGCATGCAGGCGGAAGAGAGATGAAAGAGAAAAGATTAGGTACATTCATTTGGACAGTTCATTTAACCTCTTTACATTTCCTCATTTTTAAAATTAGCTCCATGTTTAAACTAGATAACCTCAAAAGTTTCTAAAAACTACTGACTCTAGCTAATGAGGAGATTGTCAACAAGTAAGTCAAGAAAACTTAAATTGCCRAAGTTTTAATCAAGAGTCAACTTCTTAGAATCCAAAAATAAAACATGAATTTCCTAGATTTGTCATAGCTAGTCACCACAATTCACGTGAGATTGTGTCAGTCTATTATTTTAAGATAAGATGAAAAAATATGTGTTTGCTAAAGAATGGAGATATTCATTGTCCCAGGAAAGAAACTGTGAATGAAGTTGAATTTGCTGAGTCTGRAGAGATCTCCCAAATTAGGAATCAGTGCTTTGAGTGAATAAARTGTAGAAAGTACATGAATGTAACAGGAATAACAGATCATTATATTTTATGTTAGCTATTCCATCCACCAWCTCATATTCAAATTTTGCTCAGACTTGGTTTCTTCCCCTCTTAGTTTGGACATAAAATGTTAAGAAACCAGTGCAGTATGATATTTAAGTAAAATCAAAATTTCCATGTGGTGTAGTTATTATTCAGTGGGTTGATGAAACTCAAATAAATCAAGGTTTAAGGACAGAAGAAATTTCCTGCATTTTCATCTTCTTGAAAATAACCTCATCTACTTCTGCATGTGGTTAGCCCTTAAAGAAGGTAAAGATTAGCCAGTTTATTAGCCAGTGACTTTTAAATTGAAAAAAAAAAAGTTATTCCAAAGTTGAATTCTGTCTTAAAGCTAAAGATATCAATGCAATTATACAGTGTATAGGGTTGATACACTGAGGACTTCAGGGGCCAGAGAATCAGACTAGAATTTTGTACAAACACTGAATTGTCATAACGAATTCAAGGAAAGAAAAAAAAGAGACAGTGGAAAAGTTAAGTCTGGAAACCCTCAAAKGCTCTGAACTCAGCTCTCTGTGATGCGAGTCTTTCCATGCTTATTAAAAGCACAAGCCATTTCTCTGAGTGTTGCAGGAGTACTCTTGATGTTACTACTTGGAAATTCCCTAACATGGGTCCTTCTGGTGGRAGGTCTATTCTGTCTATTTTGAAGGAAATCATGAGGTAATGAATGAAACAAGTGAATATAAGAAATAAAAGATAACACAGATTCAAAATGAGGGCAATTTTTTTAAATTGACAAAAATAATTCAAGTCAACATTTTTCCCCTTACTTTAAATTGTTTTGACATCTCTTAAAGGAAAATACTAGAACTCAAACACTATCAATTGACCCTCCTAAGCATAGGCAGGGCAAGACAATTTATGTAGTTTATTTCTTTAAGAAGGTGTCTACTGGGAAAAAATCTAATCCTCTAGGCTTTCCAGAACCACTGAACTTAATTACCCTCTGTTAACTATGCAATCTCATTGACTGGATTTTTTAAAAAGCAACACCATGAACAAATTTTGATTTATTCCTTTCCCTATTCTCTTTTTTCCTCTACCATTTAATCCAGAAGACTAACAGTTTTGTTTGATTACTTTATGGAAAAGAGGTTTCCAAATGTCTGAACTAATCTGGGCCATGMTTTGACTATGCCTTGTAGGTATATGAACCATGGTATGATTTTGTCTGAATGCTAACCGAAAGAGATTCTCTTTTGTTCTATTGATTCATTGCATATCCACTGCCACATGAGTGGTGGTCAACATATGTATCATTGGAAGTTCACAATAAATAGAAGTAGAATTATCACATTTCAATTTTCAAAATGCATCACCTTATTTATCAAAACTATTGAATCCACAAACGTGATAATTTCACAAAGGAAAAAGGAAACTAAACTTACATCATCTGTTTCTGTCTTCACTTTAAATTCCATTTCTTTCATGTTTTTTATACTTAAAGTCTTTGCTCTAAAGTTAAGGCAGATAGAAAATACAACAAGTCATTTCCTGATCACTACATTAACAATGAAGAAATGAAAGGGATGTCATTTATCTTTACAATTAGRAAAGTGTCTGAAATGGTTTAGATCCTATAACCCATTTTTTCACAAGACATTGGTAAATCTATGTATCTCTGGGATATTTGAAAATACAGAGTAACAACATAGACATCTAACTAGAGATTAATAAATGAAATTTACCTCATTTGGGTTCCCAGAGCCCCATATCTCCAAGCTGTAAGAGGTGGATTGGTAAAGAATTATAAAAGAGAAAAGATGAGAAAGCATGCAGTATTTGATAAAATCTTGTTTGTGGAGGAAATAAAGGAAAGGGGGAATCAGTGGCAAGACAAGTCAGATAATAATGAACTGTAGATACAGATTCTATAAAGATGGAGTCTATCAAGAGTCTCTAAACACATTTTTAGGAATATAATACACATTTCAAAAGAAGGATGAGAAGTGAAGAGGAGCATTTTCAGATGGCTACTGGGAAATCAGAAAAGGTAATGGATCAAAATAGGGGAAATAATTTATAGATGTTCAGTAGATATATAAAAATGAAGTGTGTTCCTCAATAAATTATCCAGAAATTTATAGTTACTTTATTTTCCAAGTGATTACTGCTGTTACATAGTTTGTGTCTCATTGGATACTACATCCCTTCACATAATTTAAAAAAATCTCTGAGAGAGTACATGGCTAAGGGATTTATTTATTTTAATATATTTTATATATTAGCTACAGTTTGGATCTGAAATGTGCTCCCAAGGCTTGGTCAATATCCTGTGTCACTATGGGAGGTGGTAGAAACTTTTAAGAGTGGGGTGAAATTAGATCATTGGTAGCATGTCCTCAAAGTGGATATTGGGCCAGGTGTGGGAGTGCATACCTGGAATCCTAGCAGCTTGGGGGGCTGAGGCAGGAGGATCATGAGTTCAAAGCCAGCATCAGCAACTTAGCAAGGTTTTGAACCACTCAACAAGGGCCTTTCTCTCCCTTTCTCTCTCTCTCTCTCTCTCTCTCTCTCTCTCTCTCTCTATATATATATATATATATATATATAGTGCTGAGGATCGAACCCGGGCCGCACGCATGCCAGGCGAGCGCGCTACCGCTGAGCCACATCCCCAGCGCCTTTCTTTCTCTCTCTCNGCAGCTTGGGGGGCTGAGGCAGGAGGATCATGAGTTCAAAGCCAGCATCAGCAACTTAGCAAGGTTTTGAACCACTCAACAAGGGCCTTTCTCTCTCTCTCTCTCTCTCTCTCTCTCTCTCTCTCTCTCTCTCTCTCTCTCTATATATATATATATATATATATATATATATATACTCATACAGTTCATTATATATATATATATATTGAACTGTATGAGTTCATTATTATATGAGTTATATATATGAGTTGGGGATGTGTCTCACTGGTTAAGCACCACTGAGTTCGATATCTAGTACCAAAAAAGCAGAGGAGCATTGGACTTCATTCATTTCCTCTCCCTCTCCTTCCCTCCCTCCCCCCCCCTCTCTTTCTCTTTCCTTTCTGATCATCATGAAATGTGCAGTTTTGCTCCACCACAGTCTCTCCACCATGATATCCTGCCTTACCACAGGTCCAAAAACATCAACCATGGACTGAACCCTTTGAAACCATGAGCCAAAATAAACCTTTTTCTCCTTTTAAGTTCATTTGATCCCAGGTATTTGTTACAGCAATAGAAAGCTGACTACATTCTAGCTTAAAATTTTGATATTTTCTTCACTAACATTATATATTATACATATAACATTTATCAACATAAAACATGTTCTTATCTCTTTATCTCTAATTCACTTATAACAGGTAAAACATGAGACTGTAGTAGTAAATGATATACAGAAATAAACAAATGGGAATTAATAACATAGATCAGTAAATAGTTCTATTAGAATCTGTCTCAACAGCTTTCTGTAACAACACCACATACTTAGCTGCTGATTAAGAAGAAACAGTATTTAAATAAGATCTTACCTTGGGAAGCGTCCTATCACTATAGCTATGGTACAGACGACACCAAACAGTAGTCCCACATTGGCAGCAAAGCATATTGTAAAGATATATGTACTGACCCATATGCCCTGAAAGAGCAATAGAAAACAGAAGGTGTGGGTTCTTTGGTGTTCTCACCAATCTTAAGCTACAATATTCCTATGACCAAATCTCTCAGAAAGTAGATGATCATTTATGAAGTGGTAAACAGAAGCCCAGGAACACAGAAGCAAATCCCAGCTCCACCAGACTCTCAGTAGCAGTAGAAGTGGGGAAAGTTTCCTTCTTTTATTTCCAGGCACTGCCAAACCTTAGTTCAATCTCCAGCAATCACTGTTTGGAAGATCTGTAAATAGTTGATCAATGTGTGTGTTGTTAGATACATGCCATGATTTCCTATTGCTTCCTCATGTAATGTAACAATATCATAAGTAATTGTTTGCAGATTTTTGTTTTTCTCAAAAATATTCTGTTTTCAAGGATTACTATAAAATTACCAATATAGTTTATTGCCACATAAGACTTTCAAAGCCTAGTGTTTAAGTGATTGAATCAAGCAACACTGCCAATTTTACTTTAACATATTAAGATCATTACAATTTTTATCTATAAGGGCCACTTGTTGTAAAAGCTAAAAAAAAACAAACAAAAAAAACGGGACAACATAGTTCTTGAGAATATTTCAAAAAGTTGCAATAAACTAATTCTCTTTTAGATTGTATTCCAAAGTTACTCTACCTATGTCCATGTCTGAACTTATAATTGCAACAAGATATTGTAGTATAGTTGGCTTTTCTAAACTTTGTGCTGAAAATAAAATCTTTAAGGGAAGAATAATTTGTGAAATCCAGAAGATTATAGTTCTAAATACAAAATCCTGCATCCATCAATTAGTAAACTGACAAAATTTTCACTTTCTTTTCTCCCAAACAACTATACCACTCTGATTATATATAAAATTTTCAGTTGATTTCCTCTGTCCCAATGTTTACTTCAAAATGTAATTTAATTCTATTCATACATAAACAAAAAAAGGTAAAAACTACTCTGTAATCTGAAAAAACAGCATAAGATCTTGGGAGAGGGAAGTTATAGTTCTTTTTTTTTCAGACACATTTGAAACAAACATTTCTAAAGGTAATTTTTATTGAAAATGTTTTTTCTTTGTCTATATTACTTATCTACACTGAGCTTGTATGATTCTCAAAAACAGACTGTTTTGAAAAGCTAAGCCTTTAGAAGCAAATGGAGGGATTTTTTATCTGTAAAATTCCTTTTGATATTAAAGACACAAGCATTCTGCAGTAAGAGAATATATATTTTAAGATAATTCACACATAAGCTCCATCTCCTATAAATGGCAATGCTGAGTTAGGACTTAGCTCATTCACAACCTGTCATCTCTTAGGTTAGGATGATTCTCCTTTATTGAGATGAATTGGCAGTCATATGAGTCTTCTATTTGTGTAGTGGGTTTTTTTTTTCCTTTTCTAATGTATTACATTGTACTCAATCATATACAAAATAAGACTGTAAGCTTTTGATCATTCTTGCAACTTCCTGTGAGGACTCTGAGTCTTACTCATCCTTGAACACTAAATGAACCTGCCTGAGTGTGGCAGAACAAGACCTCACCAAGAGTTTAAGAATCCAGTTCCTCCTGGCCAGCCTCCATGATTCAAAACGGCATGGGAAACTAAGGATGCTGGACCCTGCCACTTCAAAAACCACAAATCCTGGAGGCCAGGACTCATCAGAGCAACCAAAAATTTTGGTGCCATCTGGTTCTGTTTTTAAAGCATATTTACCCTCCCACAACACTATCTATTATAAGTCAAGCTCTTCAAATGCTTTTTTTCTCTGTGGCTACATTTACAACTTTAAAAATATAACAAATGGAAATTAATAACATAGATCAGTAAATAGTTCTATTAGAATTTGTCTCAATAGTTTTCTGTAACAATTCCTGTTAAAGACCCAAATGTTGGTTATCACAGTTATTATATATTGATTAGCTCTTGGGTCCCTTTTATTTTTTTCATTATTTGAAAAATAAATTGAAATCCACAGCCCTTAGACACAAACTTACCCCCAGGTTAAGCTTAAATAGAGAACACATAAAGTCTTGCTTCTAATAGAATATCTATCAGTGTAAAGCACAATTTAACAATGAATGGGTCATCTCACCTTTCCCTTACCTATCTATTTTACTGTCTGTTTTGGTGACAAATTCATACCATTACATTTTGATAGATCTGTTTAGCTATTCAAACTCTGTTCTGAGTCCCTGAGTAAAACTTCCATTTAGATTCTTTATTACTTCAAAGAGGGTTCTGACCTACAACTCAAAATAGAAACTATATTGAACTGTAAAAAAAATGAAAAATTAAAAATGTTTCTGATTTTTCGTGTGATAACTACTTACATGACTTTTTAGCCTTTAAACCTTCAAATTATTTTACATACACATACACTCACTCACATAGACAATTTTTGATAATTTTTCTTCCACTATACTGTAGGCATATTCTATCTATTGAATAATCTAGATATGTTATGTTTACTGAGTAATATAGCCTATATCCACAAAAGTCTAGGCAATATTTTGTTGCTCCAAATATTATATCAACATTATATCCCAATAATCCATGGCTTTTTGCTGTTGAATTCCTTAGCAGATAAGAAATATTCATCTATTATCAAGCTAATCTAATGTCCCATTGAATCATCATGCACCTGGTACAATCATGTCAAGTTTCTCAATCTCACTCCTTGCCTATACCATATGTTCTCACTCTAACTTTTCAATAATCATGTCCAAGCAGTATATTACTAATTTTAAGCTCTTAAACCATTTTCCAAGTTATTATAAAACATCTTCAAAGTCAACAACTCATTAATGCAAATGCATTAATTTCATACCCAAATCTACCCTTCCTCCAATGTTCTCCTTCAGTTAGAACAGTAATATCCTTCAACACACTATAATTAGAAACATTTTACTCTCTCTTCTTTCATCACTTGTCAAATCATTTCCCAAGCCATATCAATTATTAATCAAAAACATCTAAAACCACACCCTTTTTCAATTTATTAATGGTGCCTAGTTTACACCTTACTGTCCCTTCCCTAGACTGTTCTGACAACTCCAATTATCTGACAACTCCAATTATCTGACAACGATTTTTGTTATCTGCATTATAAACTATTTATCATACAGCTGCCAGGATTACCTAAGTATACATTTGGATATCATATGTAGATAGTATATTAAAGATTTCTGTACTCTACTCCTTTATATTAAAATAAATCAAATACAACCTATAAAGGGAAAAAATCAACTTCAATGTAAAAAAAGAACATGTTCACAATCGTTAACTACAAAATAAGATACAATTCTGTCAAATACTGTGAAATCTGGATAATAATCAATGAGGATACTAGAAGGCAACACATTTTTTTTTTTCTCAGAGTTCAATCAATTTTACATGTTTGTCTAACCACTGGATCCTGGGAATCCTGTGTGATAATCTTGGTAAAAAAGTTCAAGAGGCAATAGCTTCTAAGTTCTACAGGGAAGGTTGAGCCACCAGAGAAGCAGGAAATATACCCATGGAGTTTTACATGATGCAGTATGCCTGCATTGGCAGTGTCACAACCTAGCCATTTGTATCACAACCTAGCTTCCTGACCAAAGAAGACTTAGAGATGAAGCAACCTGAAGTATGAAAAGGAAACAAGTGTCAGGTTGCAAGAGAACCTGTGATTTCTGAGATTTTGCTTTAACTGGGGACGTGTATTAAAATGACATGCCTAAAACTATTCCTATCTCCTGCAATTCCCATGTAATTTTTTAGTAAATATTTAAGTTCACTTAAAAAATGCATATTCCTAATCATCAAGGTAACTACTTATAGAAAAGAGAAAATGAAAAGATGAAGCAAAGACAAAGGATAGGTCTGAGTATGTAATCAGAATCTCAGGAAAAAACTTTTGAAAAGATATGAAATATGAAATAAATACTTTATTTAACAAAGAGAAAAACTTTGTTAAAGGAGATAAAAAAAACATGCTGGAAGAATTTAGGAAAGAAGTTGAGTAGAAATAAAATATTGGCGATATAAAAAATATTTAAAAGTAGAAAACAGAATAATCACAACTAGAAATTCACAATCAGCATTATAATAAATACAATAAATAAAGAAACCACACCAGGGGGTGGGGAAGGYGGGAAGGAGTCATGGGAAAATACAGAGACATGAAAAAAGAAAAAGCAAAATCAACAAATACAATATTTGTTAAGAGGACGGAACAAATAAATTTGAAAAAAATCTCCAAAGATACATTAGAAGAAAAATTTTATAAATAATTATTGATTCTGAGATCAAAATATACATAATKCTCATAGAAATTTGAGATTTCTTTTTGTTTCTGAGATCAAAAGGATATGTGGTGCTCATAGAAATTTGATACTGGAGCATTAACCACAGAAATATTCTGATAACATCACCAAATTTTGTGAGCAGAAAGAATGACCTTCATTGTGTATTAATTTAGAAAAAAACAAAGTTGCATAAAATAACAAACTATCATGTTTACTTCTATTTCTCTCATGTTATTATTCAATGTCGAAAGATAATGCCAAGTCTAAAAWGTTCTGAAAGAAAGCATTTTAAACTCAGCCAAAAACTACATTTTAGTATTTGTGAAAAAGGTCAATATTTTTAAAATGTAATAACTTTGAATATAAAACACATGAACCCTTTTAGGAAAACTATTTAGTGATGACATACAGAAAACAAAGAGGTGAAATGAATAACTCAGAAATGAGAACCTATATTATTTAAAGATAAAAGGTAACCCATTTACATGTTTTTAAACAATAAAATTCTATATTTTCTATAACTCCATGAATGATAGTGTCTTCTTCCATTGATGTTCCTATCTAGAGTCTTAGATGTCATTCTAGACGGATCTACTTTATAGGATGAATTGGTGGTAAAGACTATTTCAGTCTTTTAAGTATTTTTCAAATACTTAAAAATCTATCTTGTCTTGAACTTCATGATCTCAGCCTTGGTCTAGGCCTTCCTCATTTGCCTGAAATACTAGGGCAGTGCTCTAATTGTGTTATCCTCTTTCAGTATGATTCATTTCCCTAAAATTACTCAAATGATCTTTTTAATACATAAAACTTATTAATCTTATATCTACTTCACCGTTCTGTGATACTTCACTGTCTCCAGAATGAAATCTAAAGTGGTCTTTCACAATCCAATCCATTCTTAACTTTTACACCTCATTTTTCATTACATGCAGATTCACACTGCAAGTCCCACCCATGCTGAACACCTTGGTATGGAGATTCAAACATGCTCACGCTCATTCCTGTATCTTTGCACAGATGGATCTCTTTCTCTCTTCCCCAGATAAAATGGACTCATTCTTCAAATCTCCACCTAGAAATAACTTCTGAAAAGAAGCCTTCTCTGATATCTCCCGTCCCCTGCAATATGGAAACATGTTTCCTTCCATATGATTAATAAGCTCCTTAGAAATACCTTTCTCACAGGGTTAACCAGTAGCTTGTTGAATAAGTTTACATCTTCTTATTTATTTTTTCCCCATGAGTGATTTCATATAAACCACCTTTAAAATTTAAAAAAAAATGTTGGGCTGCGGTTGTGGCTCAGTAGTAGAGAGCTTACCTAGCGTGTGTGAGGCACTGGGTTCTATTCTCAGGACCACTTATAAATAAATAAAGGTCCATCAACAACTAATTAAAAAAAAGTCATGATCCTCACTCAGACTTGTTAATTGTCCTCTTGACCTGCAGTCTCCATTCATATTTCAGCTCTGCTGTGAGAGCCCTTCATATTAACCAGTACAAATGAGTGCTTCTGCCTCCACTTTTCCCCTGCACCAAGCTTTCTGAACTATRAGCATCTGGGAAAGATGGTAGCTCATCTCTACATTGCTCATGGCACTCAGCATCATACTTTGGTAGAAACTCAGTAATACTGCGCCTCGTTATTATGAAAGTAGGTATAAGTAGGTATTAGAAAAAACAATCTCCTGAGGCTCACAGAACAAAGAATCTGAAGGAGAGAAAATACATAGATCATGACATTTCAATATGGTCAATACCATATAGAGCTAAACAGAAGGGTATTCATGAATTACTTCACCTATATGGAGAGGATTTGGATGCCCACATACAGACAGGTTTCTCTAAAATGTAAGTATGCTAAACATTTCTGTTCATTGAAACCACACATCATTGTTCAGTACACTTTAATCTGTTCTAGCAATAGCCTATTAACATAACGATCTTGTCAGTGTAATTCATTCACAATATTCACGTATTTAGAATGAATGTGATCACCATAAAGCCATTCATCCTATATCCACATAGCATACGTTCATAGCAATTAATGCTAGTTTTACATACACATTATAAATCATCATATCTCTATTGGTGTATACCTTCCTGATGAGCCTCGTTTCCAGAATCAGTTCATAATGTAAACTGGACATCCCCAATACACTCAAATTAGTTATCTTTTTTTTTTTTTTTTTTTTTTGGTACCGGGGATTGAACTCAGGGGCACTCAACCAATGAGCTACATCCCCAGCCCTATTGTATTTTATTTAGAGGCAAGGTCTCACTGAATTGCTTAGCACCTCATCATTGCTGAGGCTGCCCTTGAACTCATGATCCTCCTGTCTCAGCCTCCTGAGCCTCTGGGATTAGAGTCATGTGACACGACACCATGCTTGGCTAGTTAGCATTTCTTTAAAAGTTCTCAAACTATACACAGAAATTCCATTTCTGTCTCTTATGAAACCAATTTCTATTTTAATGCTTTTATTAAGATTTTGAAAACAATAACTGGTAGTTCGTAAAGTATACAAGTCTTAAAAGCCTAAATCTGTTTTTGGCAAATAAAACAATAGTTTTATTTGGTAATGTGCTTAAACCAAAGAAGAAAATTCAAGGTGAAATTTCTACTCACCCAATCGATCTTATCCACATTCCAATATTTTTTTAAATCCCGGAACTGTATTAGCATTCCCTTCAGCCCCACGACAATAATACTTGCAAGAACACACTGCAAACAAAAATAAGCCAGTAAAAATCAAGATAAAGATTTTAGTCAGAAATTAAAAGGACCACAGTATTTTTTATTTCTTTGTTTTTAAAAGAAAATACTATGGAGAAGCTGTCACCAATTAGAAGACTAAAGTAATGCTTGTTTTGTTTAGAACTAATTTATTATTGTACTTTAGAAATATAATATCAATTCTAGGAAAATCACAGGACAAAAACTTCTGCAATTCCACATCCCAAGGTAGAAAAGAAAGAAGGAAAAGCAGTGAATGATAAGGATGAATAATATGTCCCTTCATAATTATACACTGTCACTTGTTTGAAATGTGTTTGTTGCAAAACTATGACACATTTATATTATTCATTTCTTTACAATTGTATTGAATCTCAATTATTTGGTTTTGCCAGAGGATGTTTATAACTCTCTTGAAAAGGGAACTCAATTATTGGAAGATCATTACATGGAAATATTTATCTTCACTGTACAAGTGAAGAATTAGAGCAACAAAGGGTAGAGACTGGCTCTTTTTAGCCCAGCATCTTAACTTGAGTCACTTTGGTGCCTCAGGCTTATAAAGAGCAAAAGGAACTACTGGTTCTAATGTTCTGAGCCACTTAGTAAAAAGGATGTATCAAGGGTGGGACCATGTATTCTGGATCCTTCTTCCTTGCCCCAGCACACAATTATTTTTTTAACAAATTTCTTATAAAATTCTTCCAAAGTCTACTTTTTGTACAGCAGAGTATTTCTTGTTCCATACTCCAGATGAGCACAAAAGAACTAGTTCCAGAGTGTCATTTTTATATGGGAGCTGAAGAATTGGAAGATTGTCACAGTGGAGCTGTGGCTCAATGGTAGAGTGTGCTTGCCTAGCACATGTGAGGCACTGGGTTTGATCCCCAGCACCACATAAATAAGTAAATAAAGGTAACGTGTTCATCTACAACTAAATGTGTGTGTGTGTGTGTGTGTGTGTGTGTGTGTATAAAAACAAATCAGTCATGGTACTCTCCCTTGGTACCATCCTTACCTCATCAAATGTAGTATCTTTGCACCCCTCCCCTCCATTTATCTTTACTTATGTGAGACAATTTTCAGATTTAGGATTATTGATTTGACTCTTCCTAGAAATTGTATTCACAATGATTTTCATTAAAAGTAAATGGTAGAGAGTGAAAAACACTACGGTACCATGGGCAGCCAGTACAGCAAAGGTCCAATTGCATAGATGACTATAAGGACGAAAATGCAAGATATTAGACAGGCCACCTGTAAAACACAAGACAGGAAAGAAAAGAAGAAATTCTTGAACTTTTTTTTTTTATTCCAAATTTGTAGATGAGAGTGACAAATTCTTAGTTCATCTTGATTAGAAGACGCAAAATGTAGGTCCATCGTTGTTAAATTGCATAGACTGTCATTATGTTTTGCAGTCAGAAGAAGCTAAACATGACAGGTGACAAACTGGTGCAATCAAATTAAGTCAGTGATGAGAGAAAAGCAATTCCACACAAAGAAATAGGACACCATCAATGTTTACGGCACATCACAGCCGTGGCTTGCTGCTGTGGAACAGCAAAAGTGACATTCCAGGAAAAGACCTTTAGCCTGTTGTTGTTTAGCCTGACTCCCCTCCTTCTTCCTACAGGGTTGTGTAGATAATCCCTGGAAACGCAGCTTAGGGTTCTTCTGTGCTGATGACAAATCTCCACTGAAACACTTTCTCTCTGGAGTTCTTTGTTAGTAGGGTCTCTATATGAAATGGTTCTATGAGATTATAGGAGCAGTGAAACAGACTGAATAATCCTGAAATGTATAGTGTTCTAACCCGCTGAGCCTGCTGGCAAAACGCAATTCAGAGCACCTGACCCCTGGAGCTGAGCTCTGCTGGAGGGAGAACCTGACTTCACATGACTTCATATAAACACTCAGCCACACAGTTGTGCTAATAGGAGCAAATTGACTCTCACAGACCACAGAGATGCCCAGAATATCATTATGGAGTCACTGAGGAAATCTTGACTTATCAGAATGGCTTAAATTAAAAATAACTGATTTCAATGGCAGGAAGGGACATACAGCCATTGGAGATCTCTGGCATTGCTGGTGGGAGTGCAATATGATACAGTTACTTTGAAAACAGTTTGGCAGTTTCTTATGACCTTATGCATAAGCATAACCATAGACTTAAGGCTGCCTAAGAGAAATGAAAGAATGTGCCTATGTGAATGCCCATATATAAATATTTGTTAGAAATTTTGCTCATAAACACTATATAATATGTAAATAACTGCAATGTCCACCTTCGTTGAATAAATTGTGGCATAGCTATATGATAGAGTACTACTCAGCAATAAAAAGAACATGGATGAAATTCAAACCATTAAGCAGGAAAAAGAAGTTAGACATAAAAGATGATAAGATACATGCATGTATGGTAATGCCACAGTGAAATTTGTTCTAATGATTATAACAATAAAAAATTAATGTTAAGTAAATAATAAAAAAGCTAGAAGATCCTTTATCTTGGACATTCTGAAAATAAAAGAAAAATTATAAGATTCCAAGGATGGGTGGAAGCAGAGAATTAACTATAATAGAATAGGAGAAAACTGTTGTGATGAAAATATTATATATCTTGATTGTATTTGTGGTTATACAACATACTTTTCTAAATTAAATGAACTATACAACTAAAAAGGATGAATTTTATTATGGCTAAATGTACCTATAAACATGATTTGGAGAAGGGATCTGTCATAACTCCTTGCACACATGTGTGCACACCCAGATTAAGTATAGCCTCATTTCCTGCCTGAACCTGGTGCTATTAAAGGGGGTATATGGCAGGGCATAGGGGGACGGTGGTTGTGGGCAAGTGCCCCTTCCATTATTCAGCTAAACAACCTCTCAAACAGGCCTTAGAACAGGCTTTTCCATGTTGGCAGAGGCTGAAGAAGTTTGTGTTCTCATATTTAATAGAACTACTCACTAACAAATCACAGTGGGTATAAAGGGGAAAAATAATTCTTACATGGAAATGAGTCATTAGGCTTTAAATGATTGTCCATAAAAGAGATTAAATAGTATACCAAACTGACCATTTAGGAGTAATTGGTGGTTTTATGTGGTAAAAATTTCTTAAACAATAAAATATGCTACCTGTAATTCCTTTGGCCTGGAAAGATCTAGGTGTTGAAGTGCAGACCACAGATCCATTCAGAAAGCAGCTCAGTGACTGAGTAAATCTATGTTCTTATGGAAAGGAAACAACACTAACTGCTAAGGTTTGTTTCAAGACACAAAACAACCACATGTATCCTTTTTGTAGGACTTTTTACTCCTATGCTCACCATGTACCTGAAAGCAAAACCTTCTTTCTTAGGAGTTGGAATGAACTTAATTTGGAGGCAAATTGCTTGAAAGGATCTGAGGCAGAGGGGCAACAAGACTTYTCCAAGGTCATAGACACAGGGAGTTAAAAAAAAAAAAAAAAACACAGGCAATATAAATATGTACTGAATTGGGATCCCTAAAAGCCAAGTGCATTTTGGCACAACTCTATATATCGATAATTTTTCTGCCTCCTGCCAATAAGAGTTGATGATGGGACTCTGTGTGTTCAGTGGGAAGGTGGTGACACTGCAGAGCACAAAATGGCATTGAGATTAAGAAACTTTAGAATATGGACAAAATCATTGTTTTCCTCTCTCTCCTTAAAAGAATAACATGGCAGTTAAAAGAAGAGAAGATGAGGTGACAATCTTATTTTTAATAGTTTTAAATGTTGATAATAATCTTAATATAAATACACACATGTATCAAGGGATTTCTAAAGATTTGTTTACTTTTGTGTTTTGTTTTCCTATATTAATAACTTGTCTTTTCTCCTTGAGTCAAAGTAAGATATGCATCATAGTTCTAATATTAAACATTGGCTCTGATTGTAAAGTGGAGCATTTGATTTAGTAATGGAGAGTTTGCAAACACACAGTGGCCTGCAGCTTTATGCAGTAGTATTCAAAGTGAGGCAGTTCTCTCAATTTTTTGCTTTTAAAAACAAGCTAAGATTTGCAAAGCCACACTGTTGAGTAAAAATTCAAATGTATTTTAAAATATATATATATATATATATGTATTATATAACAATATACTAAAAATGTGTTATATATAACAAAAAATTATTATATATAAAATATTATGTATATATAACAATATACTAAAAATTACTGTTGAGTAAAAACCCAAAGGTATTTTAAGATTCATATATATATATATATATATATATATATATATATATATATTATACACATAACAATATAGTAAAAATTTTTATAGAACTTGCAACCCAAATAATTCTACTTGAAAACAATGAAACACAACTACATTTAAGCTCTTCTCTAAATAATATTAACTTTCTTTTTGATTTTTAATATTCAAAAACAAACAAAACTGAATTAGTTCCTTCTTAATAAGTTTCAAATAGACCTAGACTGTAATTAGTAATGATACACATTCACACCCTTAATTATCCACAGGGTAACAAGTGCCCAGGTAGACTGTTCAACTCTCCATGTCATATTAAATGCCCAGAGATTCTTTTATTTTAAAATTATCACTAGTCATATTTAAGAGTTAATTCTGCATAGAAGTTAGTGAAATAAAATCTCTATTTTCTTCTATGTCATTCTTAAGTAAGATATATGTTACATGTTACTCACAAAGAAAACAGGCATTAGCATTATTCTTAACTGTACATATATTTGGCTGGAGAAAGGGGACATTTCGTTTTTCAGTAGTAGTCAAACAATGCAGATAGGTGGAGACCTCACTGCATGCATAATCTTGTGGAAAATAACAGGATGGTGAAAGAGATGGTGGTGGTGGGGGGAAATGGATGGTAGAAAGAAAGAAAGAAAAGGCAGGACATTGGGTATCTAAGGCTAGAGTAAAAAGGTGTTCAAGAAGATGCAAGCAATGAGCCAAATTTTGAAAGAATAAGGGAATATCGTTTGGCAAATTAGAACCCAGAGGCAATCCTAGTGTTGCAGAACAACACGCCAGCTGTTGTTTTCAGTTGTGGCTGCGCTGCCTCTGCAGCAGATGCTGTCTGGYATCCCTCGTGGTTCCGTGATGCCTCCCCAAGTCCCAGAAGAGCACTCATGTATCTCTTCTGTTGGAAGTGAAGAGAGGCATGCAGTGGAGAGAGCCAGGGGACTGTGAGCCCCCTCCCATAGTTAGCATTCATCAGAAGGAAGCCGGGGAGAAATGTAGCATTCATGTGTGCTATGAGTCCAGGCGGCACCAAGATTTTCTTATTCTGCTAAAGGCCTTTCTTAGAGGCACGTGCTTTGTATGTCACATCTAAAGGGGGTCACTTTAAAAAGGGTTTCTTCTACACATGGGGAATAGAAATGTATCCAGGCTTTTAACCACAGCACTTGATATTAAATGACCCCATCTTTTGTTATTCCTATTCAAACATTTTAATCTAAATAGGAATAAAACATTAAAAAGCTTTCCTCTCTACTTACTTGTATTGAAAAGCCTAAATTCCCTAACCAATACATCTCTATGTGGCTCTTGAGCATTTGAAATGTGGTCATCCATATTAAGATGAGCTGCAAGTGTAAAATACATGCCAAGCTTCTAAGTCTTAGTACAGAAGGAAAATAACGTAACAATAGTGTCAATAATTTCTAGATGATGATGATGATTATAGATTATTATTATAGAGTCCAGGTTAAATTATATTTTTACTATACTGGCTAAATTAAGTTATAGTATTAACATTAATTTTATCAGTTTCCTCTACTTTTTAATATGTGGCTGCTAGGTATTTAAATTACCTGAAAAACTCATGTTTCTAATRAAGAGTGCTTCTCTAAAATATATGACTTGCATTTAAAAACTTATGCAAAGCCTTTTCTGGGTTCCAAGCAAGAAGCATTATGATCATATTTGCATTTTAAAAAGATAACTGAAAATGTTTCAGAATAAAAGCAGTTAGTAAATCAATTAACAAATATAACATAGCTATCACTAGTTATCATTAGGCTAAAAATTGAAAGGCATCAAAGTCTTCCAGGATAGTTTACTGTTTATAAATCGAGTCCCTAAGAGAGTCACAGCCATTTAAGGGGCTGTTTTGTGAGATCATGTCACAAAGAAAAATGTTTCCGCAAATAGCCTATTTTGAACTAAACTTTTAATATTTGGCTTGTCTAGAGCTTTCTTAAAACCATGTCAGTTATCAGTTATACCCACATAAACTTAACAGTTGTAATGTTAAAGGTCTGAAATGACTACCATGGGAAAGCATTCTCAATTTAGTATACACATTAAATCATATTATTTCCCTATGCAATTTAATGGAAATTATTAGAAAGATCGGTGACAATCTCAATAAGCAGAGAATCATAAAAATATTCTACTAGTAAGCTTTGTTTCCCTGAACTGGTATTTTGTTAGTTTTTTTTTTTTTTTTCATTTCTTTTGAAGTTGGATGGATACCATGTGGGGGGGACCTCTATTAAATAAAAATTCCTTAGAAAAGTTCTGTTTTCTAATCATTCAAATATGTGGCCTCAAGAACAGAGAAGAGAAAGGGCATTCTTCTATCCCTGCCCTATTAATCAAATTTATGCCCAACTCAGATTTTAAAATAAGTACAAGCTTTCTTAAAATATTCTTCCTCTTAGACATTTGATGTTGAAAGTTACAAAGATGAATCAGAGGGTTTTCTGGTTACTAAAATAGTAATTAGAAAAGTATGGTAAATGCCTAAGGAAACCCCAGAGAAGGCACATATTCAAAGTGGAAACACCTCTGGGATTCTGTTTCAACCTTTTCTGTCCATGTGACAAATGAGAATGCTACCTTGGTCAAGGTCYCTCAGCAAGCTGAAGGGGCAGCCAGGGCCAGAAAACCATCTTGTTGCATCCCAATCAAACTAGGATGTTTTAATATTATGTTTTTTTTTAAAAAAAAAGGTTCTAAAAATATCTCATACTTTAAAAATAAAAATAATAAAATCAGTGATAATCACTAACATTTAAAGAGCATTTATTTGGTGCTTAGGTATTGAATTAAAGCATATGCTAACACATTTAGTCTTTATGATATTGTAATTTTATTTCAACAGATGAGTCCATTTAAACAAGAGAAGTGAAGTTACTTGTACAAAGTCACCCAGCTATATGTGGTGGAGCCAGGTCACAGGCTCTGGAACTCATGTCTTAACCACTCTTTATGTTTATTGATCCTGAACATGAAAAGAAGAAACTTAATATACTCACATTCAGTTCTCAGAGTTAAGGATGACTTTTAAGTATGCTACAAATTTAAATGTCTAAACTTAGATCACAAATATTTGAGAGTACAGTTTGCAAAAATATTAGTGCCAACACACAATGAAATTATACTTGAAATCACTGTGTAAAAATCCATCAAACAGCCAGGCACAGTGGCACATGCCTGTAATCCCAGTGGCTCAGGAAGCTGAGGCAGGAGGATCATGAGTACAAAGCCAGCCTCAGCAACAGAACAAGGCACTAAGCAATTCAGTGAGACCCTGTCTCTAAATAAAAAATACAAAATAGGGCTGTAGATGTGGTTTAGTGGTCAAGTGCCTCTGAGTTCAATCACCAGTAACCATCCTCCCTTCCCCCCCCCAAAATCAATCAAATGACTTGATATCAAGCAAACAAAGTTTGCATGAAGAGTGCACTTATTTTTTTAATATTTATTTTTTAGTTGTAGTTGGACACAATACCTTTATTTTTATTTATTTATTTATTTTTATGTGGTGCTGAGGATCCAACCCAGGGCCTCGCATGCACTCAACCACTGAGCCACAACCTCAGCCCATGGAGTATACTTCTTAGCTCATGAGTTGTGCCAATTATTTGTCTGCTGAATTAATGCATTTGGAATTGGTTGCTGCTTCCCCTCTGCTCCAAAGAATGTTTTATTAGTTTTATGTCATGTTTTAATATGTATTTATGTGTATTTTTCTTGTCACTTTCCCTCAAGGTCAAGAACCATATACTTTTCAAATTTGTTTTTCTACAGTCCAAAGAAAACATTTAATGTAGGACAGACCTCCCAAACCTCTTTGAATTAGCAAYAAGTTGTTTTATAAATTCTTATTCAATTCCTATTTTAAACACAATAAAATTTTTTATTAATGATTAACTATTACTAATGTCTTATATTAAGATACACATGGATTCTCTTGCATGAAACAGTGGTTAAGACAGCAAGGTTTGAAGTGCATTTATCCGTGTTCCAATCCCAGCTCTGCTACTCACTAACTCTGTGAGCAGGGTAAATTACTTCAATCCTCTTTTTCTCAACATTCTCATTTAGAAACTGAGAACAATAAATTATACCTCCTTCATAGAATTGCCTAAAGGATTAAAATGAGTCCACTTATATAAAAACATGACATTCGATTCCTGGCATACACTATTACTGTTTCCACCAATACCATTATCAATGACAACACATCATCTTCCCTATCATCATCATCCTCTTGCTAGCACCCAGCAAATTCCTGGTATTTGGTAGGCTTCTGATAAACATCAAACTGCTTTGAGTTTAAAAAAAAAATAAAAAGTAGCAATTGATTATTCTCTTAAAATATTCACAGACTTCTGTGCCACATTCTTTCACTGTGCATCTCTATATACAGGAATTCCAGTGTCAGGATTGGTTTTGCATATAATGGATTTTATTTTATTTAAAGGAAGTGAACAAAATTATTAAAAAAAAAAAAAAGTCACCATGACTTTTTAGATGAATAGGAAAATATCAGAGTGACCACTAGAGGGAGCTTTGGTTTCAAAGGTTGCTAACAACAAAGCTGCCATTTGTACAGAATTTTCCAGTTTGTTTATTGAATCACTTAGCCTGGAGAAGGGCTGTYCATAAGAAAAGAGGGAGAGAGGGAGGAAGGGAGAGAGGGAGGAAAGGGAGAGACTTCCAAAAAATTTGAAGAAGTGGAAATACTTTCAGGACTTTACAGACACTATCACTCCCACACTCTCATAATGGGAGACCCAGAAGTTTCCTTATTGCTATTTTGTTCTTTTGTCCCTGCTGAATGATCACCTTACCTGTGTCTTTGCCCCTGTGCTATATAGGCCAGCCGTTCTCCCCATGGCTGCAGCACTTGGTATGCAGAAGAAAAATGAAGGAATCACATTGCTGAGGCCATGAGCCAAAACTTCCTGCAAGATTGAAAATGGGAGAATGTATAAGTTCTTAATCGCAATGGATTCTTAAAGACCACAGGTACAATTGTCAGAGACAAATTATTGCAAAAGCCTGTTAGTATTCAATTTCTCTTTTCCCCCACAAGTTGGGAGGGATTTAACAATTATAATAAAAATAGCTAACATTTATTGAGTGCTTACAATGAGCCAGAAACTGTTCTAAGCACTTTACTCATTCAATTTCATAACAACCTTATAAGGAAACACTATTTATTTATTSTCTCTGCTGCCAGCTTCTCCTCTTTTAAGTCATTACAATGGGGCTTTTATTCCTATCAGTTCACCAATGACGTCCACAAAGCTAAACCCAATGGTTAGATTTTACTTTACCTGGCCTAAAACTTGAGCATTTGACATAGTTACTAGCTTCTTCCTCCATGAAGCCTCTTTCACTTGGCTTTTAGGACCTTATACTTTCTGGTTTCTTCCTGCCTCTCTGAACCTTCCTTCTCAATTTCCACTGTGGTTCCTCCTATCTAACCAATTGCAAATACTGGATCATTTCACTTCTTTATTTCTCTTCAGCTATATCTAGCTACCAAAACAAAAACAAAACTATCCAATGACAATTCCCAAATTTAGATCTTTGAACTTCAGATCTCTACAGCCAACTTGCTGTTCAGCATTGCCATTTAATGACTAACAAATACATCAACCTTACTATCTAGAGTGACAGATTTCTACCACCTCAACTGGGTCCTCCCAAATTCTTCCACACTTTAAATTTGAAATGCTTAGTCCAAAAGCTTTGGAGTCTAGACTCTCCACACCATTTCTTTTCCCAGGTGGCATATAGATGCCATCGGGAATCCTGACACTCTCATCTCCTTCATCATTACATCCTGGTCCAAGTCATCACATCTCTCCTGGATTATTGCAAAAGCCTCCTAACAGTTTGCCTGCATTTGTTGTTGTCAGCAAACACAGACAAACATTCCTGCCTTCAAGAAGCTGTGGTTCTAGTAAGGGAATATTGACCACAAAAAAAAAAAAAAGATAAAYATGGAAAGTAAAGCAGTGGCGACCAAGGGAAATTTGGAGTTTAAGAGTTTAGATGACCAAAGATGCCTTCCCTAAGAGAGAAGCACTGAAATAAAGCAGTTGTGTCAGATATACAGAGGAACAGCATTAGCTAGAGGATTCAAGGAAAATATAGATGGTTAGCCATGGCTAGAACATAGTATAAAAGGGGACTGAGAGCAGAGAGAAAATGGGACAGCAGCAARTCACATACAGTCTTGTCTGCCATGATAATGAGGCTTCTACCCAAGGATCTTGGGAAGCCATGGGGAAAAGTGGAAGAAAGACAAGGTCCATGTTGTCCACTACTGTATCCCTCATACCTAGGTCAGTATCTGGTACACAGTTAAATCAATATACAACTATAGAATGAATAAATCTTCTTTTCTGAAGATTAAAAAACTGTGACACAGGAATAAAGATCACATAATATCAGAAGTGGGATTTATACACAGGTCTAGCATTCATATCCACTACATCACAGCTTCTTTTCTGATCTGTGAAGCTCTGTAGGGCCACAAAACTTGAAGCAATTCACTGTCAGAAATATATTCAGAAATATAACCAATCTTCATTCTTTGGTATTCTTAGAAAAGACCTTCACATCCTTCACTGTCTTACCAAGAACAATACCAGTATGGTACTTTGAAATCCATAATTTTTAAAAGTTAATATACAGTTATAAATACATTTGGATTCTTGGCTAAAATCAAATGATAGAGAATATCAAGGTGCTTTTCTCTCTCTAAAAAAGTATTTTTAAGTCAGGAGCCTTTAATTTTTAAGTATACACCTATAATTCCAGCAACCAGGGAGGCTAAAGCTGGAGGATAGCAAGTTTAGCAACTTAGTGAGACTCTGTCTCAGAAAGCACCCCTGGGTTCAATCCCTAGTATTAAATATATATAATATATAAATATATATATATATACATATTCTTAACAATGAAAGCCAAATTTCAGCTTTCTGTGATTGATAGAGATTTTTCTTCTGTTGTTGTTTTTTCTACCATTCGTGTTATACATTTAGGGAAGTTATAGTTTTCCTAAGTTTAATATTTTCAGGATCTGAGAGTACRTAGAACACTAGTAGAATGGGGTGAAAATGGGCTGAGGACACACTCCACCTGATTGTCATCGACTGAATATTTGAATTTTTTGGCAGATCCTTGAGCCAGGGCCAGTGAGGCCACGTAGCCTACGAGTGCCACTCCGAAAGCTTCAGTGATTACTGCAGAGAGGATGTTCATTGGGGGAGCTCTAGGTGGAGGAATTCTGTGGAAAGAAAGAGCAAATTGAAGTTGCCAACCTTCATGTAATTTCTGTAACAACTTGCCATGAATGGAACTACAGTAATGACTCTGAAGTTTACATGAAATAAGTGAAATACCCATGAGAAAACTAAGCAGTCTTGCCCTTAAAAGTCCTTTATTTTCAACATTATTTAGCAAAAAAAGCAAAATTGTGAGGAAGACCACACGCTTAGCTCCATGCATCTAACTGGCACTTACACCCAGGGAATTCAGGTTACACCACAGAAACTGACTCAACAAAAATTTCCTGTATCAGAAACAAAAGCAATTCTGGAATGTTCTTTCATCCAAACCTTTCCAAATATTTATTTGACCGGCATTGGAGATTGTATTTCCTCCCTTAAAGAATACTACAGTGTTATATGCAAACACTAGTTTATTGCCAACTACAATTCTTGGGTTAATTCTTGAATTTGCCATTGAGTTAATTATCTTAATTATATTTTTAACTCAATCCTTTCACAAAACACTTCACTATAGCTTACGTATGTTAAGAAAATATGTAGAAAGATTCCATCTACTCTGTTGCCAAATACAGGGCCATACTTAATTGTTCTCTGTTTCAAAGAATAGCTTAAAATGTTTCTCAAATAATACCCAGCTTGGGTATTTGAAAATGTTTTCAGATAATACTTTGAAAACCACTTAAATCAAAGTATCATCATTTATGAGACTTATCAAAAAATCCCTATGGCAAAAGCAGAAGCAAAAGGGAAGTGAATTTATGTTGATTTAATTATTAGTATGTAAGTAGAGTTTTGGTCCTTTCTTATTAGCTAATTCATTTAATTCTCCCAAAAGCCCCCAAACCAAGTACCATCATAACCACTTTATGGAAGAAAGAATGTTTCAAGAAAGGTTAGATAACTCATCTAAAATCATAAAGAGAATGGCTGAGTTGGGATTGGATCTTAGCTCCACCTATTTTCAAAGTCTTGTTCAATCTATGATTATTTAATATGGTTCCAGAAAGGTCACTTAAAATAAGAAAATGAGAGGGGATGGAGGAGAGGTGTCTTACTCCCCAATGTACTAATGTTTACCTTTAAGACAAATTGATTTGTMTGATTATGGTCCCAATATACGTACCATAAAAAACTACTACTATGCCAAAGTATGAGATTTTTATTTCAAGAAAATTTAGTGTACTCAATGAATAAACTGACCTAAAAAGAAAGAATAAATTGGTTTTCAAGGGTAGAAAGGCAGAGAGAACTTTGGAAAATTCAAGTAAATTCAATTCATCACCCTTAACCTTTATCCACCTAGGCAAATAGAGAGATTTTTTAAATTGTCTTTTTAATCACTGAGAATTGTTCTACTGTTCCTCAATTATGGTATAGTTAGAAAGCAAAATTGAGGKTGGAAGATAAAAACTTAGAGGACCCAACAACTCTAACTTTGTCCCTTATTTGTATATTCAGCCTATTAAAAGCAAACAAACCATAAGACCTTTTCTCTATTATACCTTCTCTTCTTTCAGCCTATTTTTGGAGTGACCTTCTGCCTTCTGGGGTGTACCACCTCCTCTGTTGTTAAAAGTTCTCTTAGGGTCCAGAGGAAGGCTGTAGGTAGGTGGGAATCCCCCTTTTCTTCTTCTAGCTTCCCTCACTATTCAAGTCTACCCAGGCCTGTGGGATTGGTATTTCAGATGATACTTTTCCACCTGTATCAATGATTTAGGTAAAATAAAAATATTCATAAGAATATGTAGATGGGGGTAATAGGGTTAACTAAACCCCAGTGCATAACTCTAATTGGCAAATTCAATACCTTCTGCTTTTTTGAGTAATACCTTTATAAATATTATGTGAATCTTCTACCTGAAATAATGCTATGCACGGCAATTACCAACATACTTAGTAATGTATGAACTTATAGTCTAGGAGTACTGACTGTTTCCCTTCACATGTAGTATTTGTTTCTATCATTGTGTGATAGACATTAATTAGAAGTTTGCCCCTTAAGATATACAAAAAGAAAAAGAAATGCTTACCCACCCTCCCCCCAAGTCCCTTCCCCTATCAACAAGCAAAGAAGCAGACAAACATTATATTTTTAGAAGACTACATTACCCTTTTGGGATATGACCAACTACTTCTAATCCATATGTGTTTTCCATATTGGTACAATAACAAGCAAAAGATGCAGCAATAATCTTCAAGGTTCCATGCGGGGGGGGGAAAAAAGAAAAATATATTACTGGCCTTTTAAAACCCTTAAAACCATTTTTTGAAGTGAACACTGCATGTCCCATGATTACCAAGAGTAAAGCAGCAATTATACATATTTTTTTTAATTAGAAAAATATTGGAAGTCCAAAGGTCAGGGATACTGGAAAGATGATGGTTACTAGGTAATAGGTGAACAGGAGCAGTTGGACAGGAGGCCTGAATTCTGTTGGTTTATAGCTCAGGAGGATAAAGATGTTTGAATGTTCCCAATACAAAGAAATGATAAATGTCTGAGATGATAGATATATCAATTGCCCTGATCTGATCATGACACATTGTATGCAAGTGTTGAAATGTCACACTGTATCCTACAAATATGGACAATTAAAAATATATGTAGAAAGCTCAAAAGGTCACTCTGAATTTTGAAAGTACATATTTAGTCTCAAAATTAGATGATATCTCAGTATTATGGCTTTTCTAATATTTTTATATCAACCCAGTGTGTCCAATTTGGAAGGGAAGAAACATAGAGAATATAGGGATGAGTGTGTGTGTGTGTGTGTGTGTGTGTGTTTGTGTGTGTGTGTGTGTGTGTGATGTATGCATGTGCATGCACACAGTCACATCAGTCCAACCTAAATACCTGTCTGTCATGACACAAAGGGATGCTTTGTAAAACAGCATATTTTCCCTCCATGAAGACAACCTCTCAAGAGTTTGAAGTGTGGATTAAATCTATAATCTATGTTAGTAACAAGTGATGATTTACAGTACTGTGAATATTTGTGAATTTTGAACTTTTACTCTTTCTTGAAGTAAAACATTGGTTCACAGTCATTGGATCCATGCTTTTTAAAGGACCCCTGTGGAGCTTCGGACACCCTATCATGCTGTTACTGATACATGCCAAGTATCATGCTGTTACTGATACACCAAGCAGGGTCACCTATTCTCTGCTTATACCCATCATCATGTTTAACCCACATACCAAGCCAGTTCTGCCTGTGTTTTATAGCTATGCCAACTGACTATTTTCCATCCATTTTCACATTCTCTGTTTAGGATAATTTTAATAGACACTGAGAATTTCACATGGTTATGTTATCAGTTTGGAATGGTTATCTTGTTAAAAGAGATAAACCAATTATATATTTAGAGTACAAGTTATCATACACATGGGCAGAAACAAAGTATAACATAGTTACACTAATGAAATAAGGAATATCTAGCAATTAATGCCCAATAATACCATTTTGTATGTTTTCCCCCTATCTGTACATGTCTGTTGATATTTAACTGAATAAGTCTCTAAAGTACTAAGTGGGCTTAAAAAGCCAAACGGATTAAGGACTTTTTTATAAATTTATTTGTTTGTTTATTTTAATTAGGTATACATATGTCTTGAGAATTTTTTTTAAAGATTTCATCTCACTCCARTCAGAATGGCAGCTATTAAGAATACAAACAACAATAAGTGTTGGTGGAGGATGTGGGGGAAATGGTGCATTCATACATTGCTGGTGGGACTGCAAAATGGTGCAGCCAATATGGAAAACAGTATGGAGATTCCTTGGAAAACTGGGAAAGAAACCACCTTTTGAGTATTTTAATAAACATAAAAAGCTATAAAACTGCTAACAGATATTATTAAATTTTATAAATATTTTGATATGATAGTAATATTTTAAATCATAGAATTAGCCTTTCAGACAGTGTCTTACTTCCTCATTGTATTTATTTATCAGTTGAGTCTTTGGTCCCTCTTCAGTGTTATTTAATATCATCTGTGTGTATAAAGCCAGTACCACCCTTACACTCAGTCATTAGGAGATCTTGCTGGGGGGGGGCAGTGTTTTAATGATTCCAATCTTGTCCCCCTCCATCTCTAGCCTACTCCATAAATGGGAGTTCTGTAGGGACAGGAAGATGTGCCAAATTCGTACTGTACCTCTCTTTTTGATCAACAGTATAGAACTGAGGAATATATTATTTCATGCCCAAATGGCCCTCTGTCCATGTGTCCATTTCCCTAGGACTATCTTACTAGGGTGTCCCAACGAAAGCCAAGACACAGTTGTTATGTCTTGGGGAACTGTTTGGAGTTTAAACACTGGAGCAGGAATATCCACACATATTCAGGTGAATCCCCTCATRGTTGGAATAAAGCAGGAGTGGCAAGATAAGGAGCAAGCCAAGAGGCTCTCTCCCCAGGCCACCGCATTCTAGCACAGCTCAAAGAAGTAGGAGAATTCTCCACCCTACCCTGGTTTTCAAGGTCATTACTAGGGTACATTAGTCAAGATAGAAAAAACCACTCCTGTTTTGTTTAATATTTTGATCTATAATTTTTAAATAGTTGAGCTTTTACCAGTACTTTTGGTATAATAGTAATATTTTAAATCATTGAATTAGCCTTTCAGACTTTTGCCATGGGTCTTATAACTGTCACACTGTATATGGAATATCTTTTATTTTAAGAATAGTTCTTACTAGTTTTGCAGAAAATTTCAACTTATTATGAGCTTAAGAGCCTTCCCCCAGGGTTATTTTCAATTTTTTTATTTTATGGAAACTTATATTGTATAGCTTCCCAAGATAGGCATTTCTCAATATCTGTAGGACTTTGAGAAATGATGGTATGTTTCAGGATTATTACTGTGAAAGCTAATGACTGTGGTACTCTGAGATCTATGGCTCATTTGAAATATTCACACACATGTGTAGCTCACATTTATTAATGTGTATCTCACTGAAGTGTCAAGAGTATAGCATCATACTTGGCCTCCATCTCAGTTCTGTAGAAATGAATTGTGCCCTAAAGAGGCAGCTTCCAATGTTCTGATCTTTTATAGTCCTAAACCTATAATATTCAACATTATAAAGGGATATTTTTTTAAATAATTGAAATTATTTAGACACTATTGGTAGGATATGTGTGTATATATATATAACACAAATGCCATAAAGCTATGAATAAATTAGTAGATTTATGAGAAGTGGTTGTGTTAATATTTCAATTTGACACTTTTTTTGGTTAAGGTTCCCATTAAAGGTGCTTAAATTTTCAAAACATATATTTTCATGCCACAAGCCTTGGGAGCAAATTATATTGTACTGCTTTGCCAGGTACAACAACAAAAACAAATTTTTTAAAGAGCCTGCCCTACCAATGAAAATTATGAGCATCCTTTCAGTAAGGCAAAATTAGGTGGGTAACAAGTATAAACAAACTAATAATCATTAGCAGAAAAATTTTAGTTGATAATATTTCTCTATATATCATACAGATGTTTTATCAGTAGGAGGTGGTATCATATTTTATTGCTTTACATAGGATCATGACAGACATCTTTTGAGTCTCACCCTTAGAAATATCTCTTTGAGATCCTAGGTTATATGTTCTCTTATTTATGTAAAAAATTAAAAGCATATGAGAAATGCTGTATAAACTGAGAACATGTGTGCCTCCTTTTTTAAATTATTGACTCAAAATGTTTCCTGTTCTTACATTAATGTATAGCCACGCAAATTAGCCCTACTTTAATGAGACCCAGGAGTAGTTATGGGTTACTGTAGACAATATAGTAAGCATCTGCCGATTACCTCAACCACGGACAGGCTCTGGATAGCAGAAAGCTAAATGTTGATTTCATACTTACCAAAACTAAATCGACAGGAAGAACAACTTTAATTTTCCTTTTAAATTGTTCATTCAGCTCCTTAACAAGAACAAGGACCACGATGCTCAGCAAAGACAAGAGCAGTGCTTCCAGTCGGACAGACTTGATGTTTTCAAAGACGTACGCATAAATCTACAAGAATGAGAAAAAACATAAACAAAATCCAGGGTCTCCTACAATATACCAGTATGGAAATCTGGCCCCAAATAAATTCAATGTTGTTTAATAAAAACGTCTTAATGACTGGGAGGTGGGAATGTAGAAGGAGAAGTAGAGCAAAGCTACATGTTCATGTGTATGTACAAAATTGCTTTTGATTATTCCATCAGACTCAGAGTTTGCTCCCACCTACACAAGGACACTACTGGAAAGAAAGACTCTTCTGGCTTTTTCCCTCGCACTTAAAAGGTAGAAGTTCTACGACTCATTAGTTATATATAGATTCAGCATTAAGAGCAGCAAGAGGCCTATAGACCCTTTACCTTTGACCCCACCACTTCTCCTCAAAGCCAGAACCAAACACACACATAAGTCACACATAAAGGAGTTAAGAACTGGTATTTAATAGACATCAGATGTTTGGCTTCATGTAAAATATTACCATGTTCTCAGTCACTCAGCATTTATTTGTCTATTGCCACATATTTATGCCAAGCACTATGTCAGTGCTACATCTACAGTGAGGAACAACTTATATGCAGCCTTAGTATCCACAGAGTATATGGTCTAGTGTAGGAATCGCTAATTAAAATGATAACTAGCACAATATGATGCTATAGATATGGAAGGGGTATCTGAAATGTATAACTTGGAGATGAACCCTTGCCAAGTAAGATAAGTGGGAATTAACCAGGTTAAAGATAGGAAGGAGATAGGTGGGTGAAAAGGAATCTGAACAAAATGTTTTGTCTAAAGGCAGTATACCACAGGCATAGAATATGCAGAGAAGAGTATAAGATTTCCCGAAAAATACCGTCAGAAACCAATACAATTGTTTGTCTTTAAAAGCAAGCCTATGTGAAATCATGCTGACATTAAAGAATGAGCTTTCTATTAGAAGATACAATCTACTAACATCAGACACTAGATTTTGGTAACTTGGGATAATCTGACTTGGCAGAAAAATGAAATAAATGTAAGAATTAATCAAGGAAAAGAAAAAAATAAAGCTGTTTCTAAAATTAAAAGTTTATGTTTATTCAACTAAGTGTCAAATATATTTTTTTCAGCAACTTAGGGTCCTGTTGATAATTATATAATCATCTTATCTAGCAGCATAAAGAAGATGGGGCAAGATTTTTAAAAATTCTAAATTGAGTACTAAAGGGGAAAAAAAACTAACCTAAATCCAATCCTGTCTCTACCTGAACATTTGATATAAAGAAACCCATCCAAATTTTTCTACTTAGAAAAATAACAACAATTCTCAAATTCATATAGAGTATTAAATGCATAAGAATAAAAAAATTTTGAAGRAGAATATTTGTGAGCTTATACTATCAAACATAAACAAATGCAGAGTAATTGATAATATGATACTAGTATTAAAATCTGTAAGAAAAAAGAGAAAACATATGAAAGCCCAGAAACATATTAATGGCATTATAGAAAAGATTATCCAATAACCCATGTTTGAAACAAAATTAAGTGACATGAAATAAATTCTAGATTAAAAAGGTTAAATATAAAAATTGAAGTCACAGAAAAAGTAGGCATTAAAAATGGGCAGAAGACATAACCAACAAAAGAAAGGACCAATAAACATATAAACAAAGAGCTAAAACACAGTAGTCATCGAGAAATATAAATTCAAACAGTAAAAATCATATTTTTCTTCTATCAAATTATTAGTGATTTTTAAGTAATAATACTTGATGTTGGTAAAATTTGGAGGAAGAAATGAGAAATCTTCTACACTACCCATAGGACTGTGAATTGGTATACTCTTTAAGTAATCTGATAAAACATCAAAAACTTGAAATATTCTATTTTTGCCCCAGCAGCCCCACTTTAAGAAAATTAGCGTATTTACATAATTAGACTTGTGTGAAAAGACCTTATTACAAGGAAGAACTTATTACATGGAACCAGTGTTTAAAATAGCAGAAAGAAAGGAAGGAAGGAAGGAAAGAGGGAGACAGGGAGAGAGGAAATTAAACTCATTTAAACAGTAGAGCAAAAGGGAAGTATTTTGGTCACTTTCATGTATACAATAGTCTACATTCACTAAAGACATTGCTTTAGACAAAACTCATTTTTATTGTCGTGGAAAGGCCTTCCTGTCCTGATGATAAGTAGAAAAACCAACTTGCAGGTAAGTGTGTATGAGTTGATAGTGTTATGGGCTGAACTGAGTTCTTCCCCAAATTAATGTCAAGTTCATATTTTGAGGTCCCACAGTAGCTCAGAATGTGACTGTATTTGGAGAGAGTAGCTTTAAAGCAGTAATTAAGATAAAATGAGGTCATATGGGTGGGTGTTCATTCAATATAACTGGTATTATTATAAGAAGAGATCAGGATGCAGATGTGCATGCACACACACAAAAATCATATGATGTATAAACATACCACAATGAATCCCACTTGTATAAGTAATTATAATGCACTAATTAAAATAATAATATAAGAGAGATCAGTAGAGTACAGCAAGGCAATCACGGGGAGAGAGGAAGGGAGAGGAATAAGAGTAATAAAATTATATGCAGGCATGAGTATGGTATAATGAATCCCATCATTATGAACAATTATAATGTACTGACAAAAAATAATTTTTAAAAGAAAAAATGTGAGAATGCAACTAAAAGGCAGCAATCTGCAAGGCAACAAGAGGTTTCAGAAGAAATCAATCTCCCAAAAGCTTTATTTTGGACTTCTAGCCTCTAAGTCTGTAAAAAATGTTTTGTTGCTCTTGTTTAAGCCACCCCGTAGGAGATACTTGTTATGGTAGCTCTACAAACTAATCATATCTTTTGTAACATAAAATTTATGCTTTAAATATCTACATATGGATATTTCTAGAATAGTAATATTCTAGAAATTCGAGGGTCTGCATAAGATGTCTGTGCCTGTCTGTATCTTGCATATTTTCTCTTATGAGGATTGATCACCTATAATTCTAAAGGTGTTAAGTAAGCCTTAAATGCTTATTTTCACCCTTTTCTCCCCTCTTCTTTCTCTTGGAAATCCTGAATGTGGTTCTCATAACTTCATTTCTATTTGTCCACAGATTCCTCAAGTCTCCTTTCAGAAGATAAAAAAAAAACTAGTTTTTCATTTCAATATGTAAGTTATTCTTATAGTAGTACAACTTACTGGTGTTCTTTGTTCTTCAGGCTTAACATCTCAAATATAAGTTGACCACACCCAAAATATTGGGTCAAAATATTATGTAGAATATAGGTAAAATAATCTAGCCTACATTCATTAGTATCTCTTAAAATTTGCTTAGTAGGTTTCCTAATTCAAGAACTCAGCCTACCTGGTCCAGGGATGAGAGGAACACCTTCTGTAAAGTGGGTGCATCAGGCTATCCAAGATGAATTCTATCTATTGAACATGCTTATTAACTTTCTAAAACTTCAAACAAAGAAAATGTACTCTGTTAAAAATGAAGTCTCACTGGGTGAAAAGGACCAGAGTAATGGTCTTATCCATACCATTAACAGCAAACCATCAGTCCCATAACCATACATTAAGAAATGAACCAGAGGCCAAGTAGTTATACTTATTGTTTTCAAAATATACTACTTTATTCCACACCACTTAGAAAGAAAATTCGATACTACAATATCAAAGTTATCTGAGATGCAGATAATATTTTGCCSATTGATCTACATTGTGGATGATAATTATTTGCAGCATTCCTACAATTGAAGTATCAAGATCCATTTCTCCTAGTTACTCATAGCCCATCCAAAATTCTACTCAATGAAATATATCCCACAGGTTGTGGGGTTAAGGGTGATGTCAAAAAAATTATGTCAAAATATATGGCTTTCTGACGGTTTATCATGATCTGAGGATAAAATTGAGACAGTTATTCAAATGACTTGTCAGGAAAAAGCCAAACATTCAAATGTTGCAGAGCATTTAAAGAACTCTTCTTCGTGTTTTTGTTCCCCCATGGTATTAAAAGTATGCCATGAGAGTCCCTGTGTAAGAAATTTGGGAAATAGGCAAAACTCCCAAGCCATACCAAATTTGCTGTAATGTGCATTTCAAGAACATGTGTTTGCAGTAATAAAAATGGCCACCCCAGAATGAAAGGAATGAAAAAAAAAAMCAGAGTTTTTATTGTCTGCCTGGATTAAACTATAGCTCATCCAACAAAGCATGTTTTACATGATGCTCCAGAAGAACGTGAGGGGGGTGGGCAAAGGCTCATTGCAATCAGCGTGAAGAACACGAAAGAAAAGCAGGCTGATGAGGAGCGTTGTTCTAATGACTGTCATGTGGACCCACAGAGAGAAGTCACAAGCAAACTGGCTCACAGGAGATGGGTGGCCTACAGAGATAGAGCCAGGACAGACACACATGCACACACTTATATACCCTCACTTAATATAGTTTGAGGCATCCTAAGCACACAATAAACTTCTCATTTCTGGTATAAATCCACTCATCCAAGTATGCTATTATGCACTAAGCCCCAGTACATAAAACTTCTTATTGAGGATCTTTATTTGCTTCCCAGATCTCTGAGAAGCAAAGGTAATGTGTATATCTGTTTGGATAAATAAGAAAGCTATTATGTCAAACCTGACTGTCTGGATTAAACTATAGCTCATCCAACAAAGCATGTTTAAATAAAATAGGAGTTCATTTAATAAAATAGTTCATTTAATAAAATAGGAGTTCAGATCATTTTGAGACTATCGCACTAGTTCATTAAATTGACCATTTATTATAATGAAATAAAATGGAAAAATGTTAGTATTCAGAAAGAAATCCATTTTGAGATTTTTTAAAAATACCCATAGTACAGGTATTGATTGATTTTYAATTGGTTCTTTTTATTTATATATAACAATAGGATTCATTTTGACATAATTATAAAAGCATGGAATGTAATTTGTTCTAATTCAGTCCCCAGTATATCCCCTTTCGCTACCCTCTTCCCTCCCCTACTCC